GGTTTGTGGCTAATTTTATTAATAGAATTTTGACGTTGATCACCAAAAAATTTCGGAAAATACACTTCCCAATCGTTTAATGTGACAAATCGTTCGACTATTATCACTTGATCAGTTTTTCCGATTTTATTTGCGTGTAACTTCGTAAATCATTTCCGATTTATATATCATTTCCCGTGATTTATAATTTACTATTTTACAACAGGTTGAATCGAGATCTTCTATCCTATATATTCCGAAATCCAAAATCTCAAACCATGTAGTAATAATGGGTTCCTAATACATATCTAAATGCTTTTCTAGAGCAACACAGCGCCTTTCATCAAATTCTAGTTGGCTATAATTTATCAACTGATTAATGTATAATTTGTTTCAATTAAAATAATTATTATATATTAATATATAAATAATACATTACCATACTGTGCCACAATTCAGTCTTTTCAGTAGATCACAATTTCCTTTTTCTATATCACCTATGCAAATTCCTCCATTTTTTAAACCTACAGTGAACCCTCTCTAAGTGCACCCTCCCTAAATGCACGCACTATGTATACCCACCATAAATGCACGCTCACAAGAAATAGCACTATGTTCCCGAGGGGGGTGCACTTATAGAGGGTTCACTGTATTATCATTTTATTTTCATTATTTTTGAAACATTTTATTTTATCTTCTGTACAAACTATGGTTTTTTCAGCTGACCAATCATCCAGATTCTGTGCATAAAGACTAATGTTAGATTCACAAAAACCAGGTGATTTTTTGAAATATTTAAGTCAATACAACTAGAATATACTTAAATAACAAAAAACATTTTGTCAGTTATGTTAAAGCACTAAAAAAAAACACTTTTTAATAATAATAAAATGTTATGTACTTTTATACACATGGAGCATCACACCATCTTCAAGACTCCAAACTTTAATAGTGCCATCCATGCTTCTGCTCACACATATTCCTCTTCTAGTATCTAATACAACAGAATCAATCTTTTGAGTATGTCCTTGTAGGTGCCAGAGGCATTCAGCAGTCATGGTGTTCCAAATCCTAATTGTATGATCATAACTACCACTAGCTAAAATTTTTCCCATCCCTGCTAAAGCACTAACAGATTGGTTATGTCCTTGAAGTGTATGAAGAAGATAAGAATTATCATTGGATTGAGCACTATCAGATTGTAATGAAAGTGTATTAGAATGATATGACAGATCTGCCTCAAGATTGGTAAATGCCACACTTTTAATGTTGAATCATCTGAGCCAGTTACAATTATAGGAGAAGATGGTTCCATAACAGGTAGTTCATTTAGATTTGGATTTGCATTTTGTGGTGTTATTATTTGAAGACACCTAACAGTACTTGTGTGTCCCGAAAATACATGAGTACACACACCTTTTGAAAGGTTCCATACGCAAACTGTTCCATCTGCTGAACCAGAAACTAACATTTTACCAACATATTGCAAAGCCCGAATGCCACCATTATGACCTTCAAATTTATTGATTATTGTACCACTAGTTATATCATGAACATATATACACTGGTCATCTAATCCTGAAATTATTTTTTCAGAATCAAATTAGAAACACCTTACAATGCCATGATTAGGAGTTTCGCATGTTATTCATTTATAATTGGCATTAAACCAATTTTGTTCTATGATATGGTGTCGACAAATCCCTTTGAAATTTCCACTTCGAAATTTACCTTCATCTTCCTTATCTAATATGAAACCTTTTTTAAAAAATAAAAATTTCCAGATATTTGTTCTTCTAAAATCTTAAACCGTTTAGATACTCTAAGCATCTTACACAAGTCCTTTATGCCAAGGCATTTTAATATCATCATTTGGAAGAGTAGTGAATTTGCCAGCAGAGGAAATAATGGTGGTAGGTGTAGTGTCAGTACTAATTATTATTGGAATTAATAATAGCACTAGTACTAATTTTCTTAATATTATTGTTGTTATTATTATTAACAGAATCTTCCGAGATGAATGAATAACGAGAGGCAGAACGATTAGAATAAGTTGGATTAAGTATTTGTTGTTTATATGAAGGATACGAATCATTAAGATATAATAAAGATGAGGTTGAGGTTGATTTGTCACTAAAGTGATCAAAAGAGTTTGGAACGGCAGTAGTTGTAGGCGTAGATGACGAGACGATTTGTCCACGCTTAATAATTAAAATTAAAAGTTTAACTAGAGTGACAACAAGTGGCGATAACCACCACCACCATTTTTACAATAAACAACACTTACCCATGAATAATCTCTTGGTTATGATAGTCTTCGCGACTTTTATTATTATTAATTTTATTACGTGGCATTTTTGCAGAAAAAAATAAAGAAAAAAAAAGTTTGTGATTTGATCGACGTGTACACATTAATTATTTATCCAATTGATTTTTTTTTTGGTAGGACAGACGCGATTGATTTTTTTTTTTTTTGGAAAAACAATTTATTTTTTGACAGATGACAATACGCGAGTGATGTTATTTGGCATGATTGGGCTCTAAAAAGAAACCTGTTAATAATCAACCAGAGGTAACTTTTTTTTAATTTGCATTGATATGTCAAGATGTAAACAATTGGTATTTGGCTTTTCGTAATCAATAATAACATTATTCTTAATATTATTATAATTAATTAC